GAAAGGTGTTTACTGCACGTAAATTTTTAAAAAAAGCTTTAATTCATAATAAATTTAGAATTTTTGTATAGTAAGCACTCACGCTAGACACATTTTTTTTTTATATGTTGCAGACCGATTTTCTCGTGCTCGGATTTTCGTGTGAGTTTCCACTTACTTTTCATACGCGAGTTTCAACTTACAAATGAAAAAATGTGATATTTCTGCATTTTTATGCACGCAATATGCTCCCGTAACTTTAGAGTCAATACCACTTCTTCATTGAATTAACGTCTAATCGGCACAAAGATACCTAACTGAAGCAGTCCTGGTCCTAAATTATCAAATTAAATGCCCAATATAAGCAGCGTTTTAAACCGACAACCAGTAGCATTCAGATATCATAAGTTAGGAGGGAATTATTTTCGTCATTAGTATATGCGTTGCATCATCGTTGATTCGCTAAGCTACTCGGGAACAAAAGACACACAAAAAAAAGAGAGAAAGACGGGATGAGGAAAAGAGATAAATAATTACTTAATTTGCTTCCTGGAAATTTTGTGTCGGGTCTTCCGCAGGACTTACGCAATGAATAGGATACCAAAGAAGAAACAAAGTACTGGATTCTAATAACTTTTTATTACATCCATCAATTTACCCCAAGGTAGTGCTAATAATCGCACTCGGTAACCCGCGTCAAAAATTCTTAACGCAGCTCTTGAGAAATCCTCGCGAGCACTTTACGACGGCTGTAGCAAGACGTGCGAAAGTCATGCAACCTATTATTAGAAATCAGAGAAACTTGGAAATGGACCGGCTTCTGGCCTAGCAAGCCCAAGGTATTTTTTGCGATAAATAAGCTTCACCAGGACTTTTTTTATTTTTTTATTTATGCATACACTGTAGTACGGCAAGGAGCTATAAAAACGAATCGCAGAGACAAATCGAAAACAATGCATTAAAAGTGAAAACCTTACCTTCTTGATCAACATGAGCTTGTTTACGAGCGCGTTTAAAATAAAATAATTGAGTAAAATCTTAGTTCCCTGATTAACTTGGGCAATGTGATAGCGTTAAAAAAGTATCGCCAAAATTTGTGGGGCGGGGCAAGCACATACCTGTGTAGTCTGAACAGGCTCAAAAGGTTTATCGCACAATCCACGTAGTTTTGACATGCACAATTATTTCTACATGGTGAAGGTGGCCACCCGCTGGGTTCCGCCAATGCTCACACACACGCAATAAAATTGCCGAATCTGCAGCAGAAATACTGTAGCTTTGACAAGCCGACTCTGACGAATTCTTTTATCACCCGATTGCCACGAACAAGTGTGTGGTGACCGTGGCGACTCCGATACGAAAGAACGAAACAAGCAATGAAAGCAGTGGATTCACCACCTCCAAGGAAGAGAAGACGCAGCTGTCGTCGGTAAAAATAATAAATACAACGCGTCTTTTTTTTTCTTTTTTTTCTGGGGGTGGGGGGGGGGGGGGGTTGCTCATGCTCCTGAAGGATTCTGCCGGTAAGGGCAAAACAATTACGAAGGAATATTATTGGGCCCCCTTGTTGAAAGTGCGGTGGGCCATCATACGCCGCGGAAAGCTGACCAGGGGAGCGCTTTTCTTTCATCACAAAGCACCAGCCTATTTTTTGCAGTGGACGGTGACAGATGCGGTTGCTTTAAGCCGTGATATTCTGCCTCACTTAGTGTCAGGTCGAGTATTCACCCGACCTAAGGCTGGCACCCAATAACTTTTTTTTCCTATCGAAAAATACTTACCGCGTGGCTGCTTTTCCAGGACGACGACTGGGTGATTGTCTAGATCAAATACCGTACTTGCTCGTGTAATAGCAGCACTAATGAACAAGACACTTGCATATACTTTCCTGCAGAACAGGCGTACAGACAATCATCGCGCTCTGCATAAAAAATGCAGCGAATAACGATGTCGAGAACACGATTCCCTGTAAAAAAAGATGCCATCTGAGCAGATAATATTTTCGCTAGGAAACGTTGTCCCGATCCAGTAATTAGCTGCCATTTTTCTACTTGTCGCGGTGATAGCACGATTTTAAATAAATAAATAAATTCGCTATTCCCGTGCGCTGTGAAGAAGCGGACTCGTAGATTTTGTTGATAAACGGAACGGCTATTAATCACGCATATACGGTATTTTTTCATGAGCCACAATAAGAACTTCTACGACCAAGGTATCTGCCATCTGATCTGTCGGTGGGAGAAGGGTTTCCTCTAGTGTTGCGTATATGCAAAAGGATAACCCCCTCCCCCCTTCCCTTTCCCCACCAACGCTAGTGATCGCAAGTCTCTTTCTTCTTGATAGTAAAACAAATCTTGTGACCGCCCTTCGTACTTGTTGCATCATGAAAGTTGCGTGCTATTCGTCCTATACTACTTCCGTCCCCGAGTTGTTTTTTCCCTTCTTTTATTTCTGCTTCTTTGTTCTCTTCATGGCAGCCTCCGCAATGTATTACTTATTTACCTTCAATTACGCACATCTTTATTATTTTTATAACTGCGTATTCAGATGGGGAGCAGACTGACTGTTTGATTGATCGACCGGTATTCATTGATTGATATGTTGATAGATAGATAGATGGATAGATTGATTGATTGATTGATTGATAAGTGCATATGCTTACTAAATTTTCTGCCCATGTATATATCTTCCTGCAGGTTAATTGCCTGAGAAAATAACTTTTCAGATGTAACAAAAATTAACCAATCATGGCACACTTGAAAAGTTTCGTTGATGTGATCGTGATCCTACGAAACGCGGATATTTTTTTTTTTGTGGAAGCTACCTTTTTAAATATCTTAAGGAGGACTGCATGCCTTATGTAGGTAATGAAATATAATGTATGTTCCCCCTCTCTCTCTCCCTCTCTTTGCAGCCACCACTCTATTCCCGTTTGAATGCGCTGGCACCCCAAGGAAAGCAGCATTTTTTCGCGTACATTTTTATATCGTCAAGAAAAATGGCCAGCTTCATAAAACTAAACATGAAACTTTACGTTCATTATATATACTGTAAAAGACATAATTTTCGCGACAATCTGATTTTGGCAAATTTCGCGAATCACCTACGATTCGCGAAAAAAACTTCCCGGGAATGTGTTTGCCAATGATAGCTGATACATGGCAAATCTCCCCGATTCGAGGAAATCAGAGCCTGCCAATAATTGAAAAAAAATCAGCTTTGGGCCGATTCACGAAATTTCGCGCATGCGAAAATTAAGTCCTTTCAAGTATCTAAGGTTCCATGTTTGCGAATAAATCCGAAAAAAACACTGGCCAGTAAAATTGTCGTCAATTCAAATTTACAATATAAAATTCGGACTTCGAAATCCTCATGCAAAAAAAAAAAGAAGAAGAAGAAGATATTTGGCAATAAAACTTGTCCAGAGCGTAGGGTCAATGGTCCTGAGAAAGTTCCACCCCAGTTTCCTCTTCAAATTCGGGTCGTTGGCAGAAGGAATCCTACCGTTTATCCCGTGAAGGTTCATTCAGGACACCGGGTAATGGAACATCTGGGTCACGACCAAACCCACAATTTTGACTTTTAGCTTGAAACATTAGAGGAATCATCTGGTTGTCACGAAACCTATAATTCCACAGAGCGGTAAGACGGAGGAGGGGGGCGGCCAGTCGAAACGTCTATATTACTCCCTTATAGTGATTATAGGATAAAGTGATTAAATAAAATCGGATGAAAACAAACTTTCCTGCAACTATCTCTAAGAGGTTAGTGATTTTGAGGTGTCGACGTTTAATGAATCAATGCTCGTTTGCAAGGTTTGTCATGCGACAGATTTGTATTGTTAATGGCAAGGGCGCCATTGCCAAATCCAATTGAAGAAACATTATATGATTCAAACACATCATTTCGAATCGAATACTCGTTTACATACGGTTATTATGTTTTTAATGGGAAACTTTACAGAACTAAGCTCTGAATTTTGGGAAAATTGGGAATCTATAAAATAAAAAAAGCTTCGATAAACTCGAAATTTTCGACAAAATATAAACTGTGAAAAGCACTCTGACGAAAAACTTGACGAAAAATGAACTCCCAAAACAAGGAACATTAAAGAAATCCCAGCGATAAACTAAAAAAAGAGCGTTACTCGGTCAAGAACGACACCCAGTATACTGCGACGATCGACCTCTAATTCAATAGCCGAGGGTTTAACAAATGAATCTTTGTTGTAAAGGAAGCGAATCTAAATAGCTGCCAGAATATAACGAGCTTCACTAAATATTTAAAAAAAAAAAAAAAACGGCCTCCCTGCCACACTGTGCGCGCTCAACGCGAAGATGGACCTCAATGTTTTCCTTTGAGCAATCGGGAACAATGAAAGTGTGACGGAAGCGAAGCAAAAGAGCGTGTGTCCGAAACACTGGGTCGCCCTCACTTATTGTTCTCGACCGGAGAAGACCTTATGGTATTTTAGTTCTGGAGGAAACGACTTGGGAATGTTTCCCGGTGCATTGTGAGAGGTCCTTCCGAGGTCGAGTATCATTTACAAAGAGATGGAAAGGTGCAGGAGATGACACCAAATTCAAAACAGAAGAAAAAAGCTCCACTCAGAGAATTTCTGTTGTGAGAAAAGTGTGCTTCTCTTCTAAGCGGGCGCATCTGCTGGTTTAATTTTTTTTTACATACAACTTTGTTTTTTTTTAATAAAAATTCTTTGCATAAAGTGGTTTGTACGTCTCAATCAAAATTGTTCGACCTTCTAAATTAAAAAAAGAAATGAAGATATCGCCAATGACACGGCACACGAGCACGCTATTATCACGACTACAATTAAAAAACACATAGCAAGTCGTTCACTGGCAGTTTAATTGTTCTTTAATTACATATATTACGAGCAAACGACAAGCAAAATAAAAGATTATAATTCTTCAAACGTCCCCCGACTTCAACAAGTTGGCCAGGCGTTCACGCTCAATGCCGTGTGTATGCCCAGTCCCCCTTCAACCCCAGTGCTAAACGATCTACTTCTTTTTGATATAACGCACACCCCTTCTGGAAGCTTGCACAGAAACAAATCTCGCTGGTGGGGAAGCTGCAAATGCCTCTGTGTACGTTGGCGCTGCGTAGATGGGAGCGCCGACATCGTATGGCCGACTCGAGCTGCCGTCGTGTCCAAGTGCAGCCGCCGCTGCCCTGGTGTCTCTGAGAGAGTTGTGAGTGTATGAGTAAGGCCCCGTTGTCGGAGAACCTGTCGCCGAGTAGTACTGAGGTGACACGTACTTGGACAAGTAGGGTCCCGGGCTCGCCTTGGAGTACATCGGAGTGCCGTAGATAGAGGCCCCACTGTAGCCGAGATCCACGAAGCTTCTGTAGAGTGCAGAAGAGATAGACGGTGCTTGCCTTCCGAAGATGTTACCAAAACCTCCCACGAGAGCTGTCCCAGCCGGGTACGTTGGTTGCACAGGAGATGGAGCAACTGGCTGGGTCTGCTGCGGACCGGGAGTGGGGTGTCCTGTGTGAGGCACGTAATACCGATACAGTGCCTCAGGAGGAATTTGAGATCGACCATATACGTGGTAGGTAGAAGGAAGTGCTGCCGGTTGCGCCACTTGTGTTGGGTGCACTGCCTGCGGCGCGTAGTACGAAGGTGGTGGACTGTAAACACTGGCACCACTGGGAGCTCCATATGCTTGACCAGAATACAAGCTGGGTGAGTAATATTCGGAAGGCACATTGAGGTCACCAGTCTTCTGTTGAGAGCTCGTCAGTGGCGGTGCGTAAGTGGCGAAGGCAGGACTGGGCTGGGCCGAAGGATACCCCGCAGGTAGGGCGTATGTCGCTTGGCTCCTCCCCACTTGACCTGGTGCTGGTACGTAGGTAATGCCAGCATGCACCAAAGCACCGGGGGGTGCGGCGGAAGGGCCTGAGGCCGCTGGGAGGGCTGACGTCCCAGTCGCAGTGCCGGTGTAGTACAACGGTTGGGCGTAATGAGCTGACTGCGGAAGGACCGATGGCGGAGACGGTGCAAGACCTTGTGGGGCGTAGTCACTTGGAAGACTAGCAGACTGTGATATCGCTGCATTCGTGTATTCCACTGTGCTTTGAGGGTAGTTAGCATACGGATGGGGCGCCTGAAGGTTGTACGATATAGGGTAGGCAAACGCTGGCTGGGCGGGGGCTGTCGCTACACCTGGTGTTGCGTACGAAGGTCTTGCTGGACCAGAAGAACCCGAGGTCCCACTGGTTGCCAAGAATTGTGGGGAAGCCTGTTGGTAGGAAGGGGTTCCGAGGGTTGAAATCGAAGGTGACGTACCGGCGGTCGTGTAGGCGGTCTGTCCTTGGGTGTGGAAGATGTAGCTTGTTCCCCTCGGGACATTGGAGCCTTTCGTCTGCGGCGTTAAAGAAGTTTTTCCATCGTCGTCAAAGACGGGACCGTATTCAATCTGTTCGAAAAATTATTGCACCAGTAATAGCATATTAGGATAGTTGATAAAACAAAAAAATGCACTTTGAAAAAAAAAAAAAAAAAAAAACATTGAAGCCTATTTTTTGTCGATGCTGCTAGACATACTTGTCGCCCTTCCGGTGCGCTAGTTTTTTTTATTTTATTAACATGGTCATTGATGATAAATCCAGAATTTTACAACTACATCATAAGCCCATAAAATCGTCCAAATAATATATTGCCAGTATTAATAGCCGCCAGGATATATCGTCATTCTTCTATGCCCGATCTACAACATCCCAACAAAGTCTCACCGGTGGGTATATTTGGAATCTAATAAACACGTGAGATAAAACCATAGGAACTCTCTGAAAACAAATAGATTGTTGAGCTAAGCGCAAACTGCTCATGCGATGTTTACTGATAACCTAAAAACACAAGGCTAATTATGTTTGCCATTCATGTTTGGTCGTCCGTTCTTAGGCTTTCTTATCGCGTACCATCTACAATCTAATTGACTGGGGAGCGGTAGCAAGATGATGGGCACTCACCTCGCCCTTCGTTATTTAAAGTTTCGGCAACTGTAGTTGTAAGTCCATAATAGAAGAAATAAAAGAAGAATTATGCTAGCCTAGTTTTTTAGTTTAGCAAGATAATGGGAGAGAGAGGCACTTACTTCGTGTGTCTTCAACTGTCCGCCGGAGCCCGCACTGGGTCTCCCCGGTCCGCCGGGTTCCGCCGTAATCGAAAGGATGAAGGCCCACAAGAGCAGCAAGCGGAACTAGAATGCACAACAATAAATATGATCTCAACTCGTTCTTTTTTTTTTCTTAATCTATAAATTGAAAAAAAAAACAAAAACGTACTGAGGACCATTTGACCAGGTGACACAAGGTCTGCACAGAAAACGCATTTCCCCTTTTAAAGCTCCAGAATGCCTCGGAAATATACTATGTCATATTCCTCTCGAAAGTATGATGTTATGGTACAAACTCTAGTAGAGTTTAGTCTTGAAAATTAGTATGCATTGCGGTGTTCCTGACTTGGTCAAACGATTCGACATTAGTCACGCTTAGACTGTTTCCAGTGCCAAACTGTGGAAACAGGGGTGTTTTACAGTGTAACTGAGACTTCACTAGAGGGACAATGAGATTTCAGGATGTTAGGATCTCATTCAAACAGCACAATGCAACGTTTTTCTGCGAAGAGCAAATCTTTGTCAACAGTTCAGAGACTATATTTTTTCAGGCACTCATCGCGACGCAAAAGCGAGTGTCCTTCGTCAGGAAATAGGCTGCGTTTTTGAAAATATTTCGCTCAATATATTTTTACGTACAGCAATAGCTGTGTCAGCAATCATGTTCAACGTTCTGGGAAGGACGAGCAGAAGCGCATGGTCACAAAAGGTGTGTTCCTCGCGCGAGTACTTGCGCATTTTACAGGGCTATGGCTTTGCTCATATGCCTTTGAAACCGGAAAACGTCACGCGTGAGATAAAACTTATATGGTCACTGAGAAGATGAGACAAGCAAGGTGTTTCTTCTATACTCTTTCATTTCATTTCATTTCATGGGGAGGCTTTGACAACAAACAAAAACAAAGAAAGGAAAAACACAGGGTTAAAGGTTGCTAAATATCGAGAAAAGTAGCAAGTGCAGCTCTGCATCCAGATGAGTCTTGAATTGTAACAATATGTTCTGTCAGAGAGTTCCATTCTGAAAGTGATAATTGCAGTGGAGAGAATTTAAAAAGGTTGGTCCTTGGTGTTACCACATGGACTTTATGAGAATGGTCTGTACGAGGAGAAATGTGATGAACCGCAGGACAGTACAATTCTCTCTTTAAGGGGGCCTGACAATACAAAGCGTGTAATGAAACTAGTCTGGTCAGTTTTCTTCGTTCCGCGAGCAGTGGAAGGCCGAGTTCTTTTTTTAGCGTAGTAATGCTAGTGTATGTGTAGTTTTTAAGAACGAACCGAGTTGGCCCTGCTTTGGATCGACTCTAATTTCTGTATTAGGTAAGCCTGGTGGGGGTTCCATGTTGTATATGCATACTCGAGCTGCGGGCGAACAAGGGTAGTGTAAGCTACGAGTTTTGTCTCCCGGTTAGCCATATGTAGCGTTATAATAATAATAATAATAGTTTATTTCCATGAAGCATGGTGGAGCGAAGGGTAAAAGCCTCAAAGGAGGCTTGACCAGTCCTCGGCCTCGTACACTGGCATTGCAGCGAAAAAAAAGAAAAATTATATATATATACATATAAATATATATATATATTTTTATACACATTTGTATAGTATAGGGAGCAGATTACAAAACAGCCATTAGTCACCTAAAGAGATGGCAAGCACAGTCGTTGCAGTAAAAAAACCAAGGCTTTGGTTTGCCTTTACAACGACGTGATTAATATGAGCTTCCCATGACAAGTTTGACGTGAAATAAACCCCAAGATATTTACGTGTGCACATGTTCAATGCGCGTATTAAAAAGAGAGTAGCTAAACACTGTGGCACTTCGCTTAGTGTTGAAGTTTAAGAATTTTGTTTTTAAGATGTTGATTTGCATTTGCCACTTTTTACACCATGTTTCTAAGGTAATCAAGTCATTCTGAAGTTGAATGCAATCACTAGCGCAAGATATCTTCTTATACACCACACAATCATCAGCGTACAAACGGATGGTTGAAAGAATACTACCGGGTAAATCATTCATGTACAAAAGAAAGAGCAGTGGACCCAGCACGGTCCCCTGCGGCACTCCTGATTTTACTTTCTGATGTGATGAAGATTTGTATTCCTAACAGACACTTTGCGAGCGATTGAAAAGAAAATTCGATATCCAGTCTATCACGAATGGCTCCACTTGGAAAGCACGTAATTTTAGAACTAGTCGATGATGCGGCACCTTATCGAATGCTTTCTGGAAGGCAATAAAAATTGCATGAGTCTCAGTTTTAAAATGCAGGTTACTCTGTATATCAGTTACAAATTCAAAAAGTTGGGAATCGCAAGAGTGAGACCGACGGAAGCCGTGCTGGTTTACAAAAAGAAGGTTGTTTGCTGACAGGTGATCCATGATATTTGAAAATAAAACATGTTCCATTAATTTACTCGGAACACGCGTCAGAGAGATGGGTCGATAGTTCGTGAATTCATTCTTTTGACCATTTAGCAGGTATTTGGCCACTAGTTAGGAATTACTCAAAAATAGAACAGAGGAGAGCGGAAGATTCACATTTGCTAAGCTTAAGTAGCTTCGTCGTGATATTGTCAGGACCGGGGTGCAGAGTTTGTTGGTAGATGTTCTATTAGTTTCTGAATTCCACTCACAGGCATAGTGATTGGGCACATTTGTGTGGCTATGTCGTAATTAGGCGAATGCTCTGGTAAGGGGAAAATGTCTTCAGAAAACATCTCGCTAAAAAAACGACTGAATTCCTTGCACACTGTACCCACATCGAGCTCGCCTCCCGCAGGATTAGTGAATCGGTGAGGCTTCGACACTTGCTTAGGGTTAACCGCTTTCCAGAACTTTTTGGGGTTAGCTGTCATAAGGCTGCAGAGGTCTTCGTTGCAAAACTTGTTCTTCGCTCGACGTATCTCTGTCTTGCATACTAATTGGAATTCGTCATACTTTGTCCACGCAGAAGAGGACAAAGACAATTTAACTGTCTGAAATAGTTTCCGTTTTTTATTCAGTAGTCGTTTAAGGCGGTTCGAAAACCAGGGTTTTCAAAAGAAGACTGCATATTCATTTTTGGAATAAATTGATCGCATAGATCAAGTAGCTTTTGTTTTAATAATCTCCAGTTTACGTGAACTGTCCTAGAGTCAAAGCCAACCACGTAAATACTTGAAAACGATTGCAACCTCCGACAGAAGTCATCGACGTTAGCCCTAGAGTAATCATAAATAGCTTTTACCAGCGGACTGTGCTTTTGCGCAGGAATAGCAAGTTCAACATTTAGGGAAGTGTGATCACTGAGCGGTTCCATAAAGTTTACCGAAGCTATAAAATCTGGTTCCGAATTAAAAAAAAGATCCAAGAAAGCAGAGTTACAAGTTGGCTTGTCAACCATTTCAAAAAGAGAGAAGGCGTTGATCACATCAACAAAATCCCGACTTTGCTTTGAAAGTTTATACCATCCATCAAAAGATATGACATTTGGAACAACGGGCCATTTTATTTTGGGATAGTTAAAGTCACCGAAGAGAACTATGAGATCATTTGGATAACAACGAGCAAAGGTCTCTAAACAATCATAAAGTAATGGCGAGAAGTCTGACAAGTCAGGTGGCTTATAACATGCGATGACTAAAATACAAACAGTGGGCGTCTCAATCCTTACCCAGACACCTTCAAAACTTGATATTATATCAGATTTTTCTACATGCAAAGTACTTCTAACACCAATCAACACTCCCCCTCCCCGCCGTTCAATCCTATCTTTCCGGATGATAAAGTAAGAGTCACTTAGGATTAATTCGATATCTGCAATATTCGTAGTTAGCCAAGTTTCACTGATGATAACAACGTCTGGAGAGCAGGAGCGGACAGCACAATGCAGCGCTTCTTGTTTGGCATAAACGCTTCTAACATTTGCAATAAAAAAGTTTATGGTTGATAATGTTCTTTTCTGTTGTTGGGAGGATGACTTTCTGGTTTCCTGTAGCTATGCGGGAAGCTGCATAACACGTGCGGTTTCCTGGTCAAAAATATATCGCAAATTTCCGATAATTAGTTTATCATGGCGAAGCTTGAAGTCACGAGCTTATGATCTTGCAAAAGAAAGGAGCTCTTTTCGTGCTTTACGGGTCTCTTCCGAGTAATACTTGCTCAAACGGAAATCTGTACCTTTTATTGTGTTTGCTTGTGATAGCACGAGTTCTTTATCTTTGAAATAATTAAATTTTACGATGATGGGCCTGACTGTCGTGGAGTTATCTCTGAAAAACCCAATTCTGTGCGCCCGCTCGATCCAAGGGGGGAGTATCTTGACACCGAGATTTTCCTCGCAAGAGGAAACTATTTTTTCTTCAGACTGCTTCCAGGTCTTACCACGCGCATCAGGTTGGTTAAAGAAAAGCAAGTTGTTTCGTCGCGAGGGATCCTCAAGTGTGGTAAACCTTCGTGTCAATTCCGCTATCGCGGAAGTGTTTGTTGCAGTGATTTTCGATACCGCAGCCACGTCTTCTTTGATTTTTGATACCGCAGCCACGTCTTCTCTGTTTCATACTTAGCGTGCAACGCTGTCAAAGGTACTGGCGGGAGCGCGTGGCTTCATCTATGGTTTTGTTTTCGCGAGAACGCGTGCAAATGATCAACGAGATCGAGCCCCACGCTCGCGCCAGTAGCATTTACAACGTTGCACGCTAAGTATGAAACAGAGTATAGATGCTCGGTTTCGAGCACGCGCTCATTGCATACCACCGTGCCATGACTGCGCGTGCATGCTCAAGGCTCACGAGGTGTCAGAGTGTTATCCAGAATAGGAAGCTCGCGCTTGATGCGATACAAGAACCTATATGCCTCCATGCAGTGACTATAATTTGTTTCACTTTATGATCGAGTGAAGCCCAAGCTACAAACACGAGCATGTTGCTCTCAACTATGCTTGTACCTCACGAGCGAGTGTACTTGGCTGACATTAAAGCCACTGGATCCTGGGAAAGTAGTGCAATTGCCTTCCCTAGCTGCCAGCCAAACACAAACAGATGCTAACATACAGACTACAAAACCCTCGCATGGCCATTGGCTAATCTATCTATGCTGCCATGGAAATCGCCATCTTGGTCCATTTAAATCTTCGAAGCTTCTAGGGGGTCATTCTAAATCAGTCACGCTAAGATCACCATGGAGCACCATCGTACTGGAAACGTTCCTCGCCAATATGAGCGCCTTTGGTACAGTGTATAAAATCAACTTATCAATCATGCCAATCTCCAAGGATCTCTTAGAGCTATATTGTTCTTCCCGCGTGTTTTAAAACAGTGAACTTATTTTGCAGTGCCTCCAAGCACCGGCACAGCATGTGGTGGCGGCACAAAGAGTTACGCTTGTTTCGCCGATGTGTGGATAGCAAAATCTCGGTATACAAGAAGCGTCTCCATAAAGCTACCCGTCACCAGCGAATTTAGATCGGCTCACCAAGAGTGGAGGTGTCAAGGAGAAATTGCCGATTTCAGAGACCAAAATGTGGACCATACGAGGAGCTTGGCGCTACTTTTCCAGGATCCAGTGACTTTAGCCAACATCACCCAGAATGACCAGAGCCTGTATACTGGAATTTTGACGTCACCACAGTGAGATCGAGCGAAAACATCGATTGGACCCGAGTGCAGCGTCAGCGTTCGGCTAGGCCTCGTGTCCAATCACCGCGTCAAAGGATGCTCGGCATCGGGTTCGGGTCCAATCGCTCAGTTGGCGACAGCCGACTATGATGACGTTTCATGGCGAAAGGGGAGAATGATCGCGGGCCTCAATTATTCTAGGTGGTGTTAGCCTGGCAGTGACGCTGAAAGCCCGGAGCTCGCTCTTCTAGCTTTCGCTCCACTCGCACTTTAAGTGAAAAGGACTCTAACAAAAACCTATGTCGCGAAAACGATTGACCGTTTATGCAGATATGCACTGCTTTTGGGGGCCAAATAGGGCTTTGCTCATAAAGTTTCTGTTAAGTCACGCGTAATCAATGCATTACAGATAAAATTAAAAAAAAGTGTGTTGCTGACGGTGAGGTAAGAAACTTCACCGAGTAAATGCGCTCACCATAGTTGTGCCGGTGAAAGTCTACGCGTGAGTATCCCAGGCCGCAGTCGTCCCCGTCGTTTTTATATGCCGGCAAGTGCATCACGAAAATCGCATCACAGTGGCGAGGGGCACAGTCGGAAACAAACGCCGTCTTTGCGTCCCTCTTGCTTCGGGAAACCATTTGCCGAAGTGAGGCCAACAGCCGCAGGAGATGACGAGGTGCGAAAGAAACAGAGCTGAAAAGAAAAATAAACGAAACAAAAATGCCGAGAGATTCAACGGTGCTTATTCGGGAAGGATCTCAGTCATGTTTATTGTGGTGGATCCACTTCGTGCTAATACGTTCGATGAAATGGTTCAATGCGAACACGTAAATGTTCTGTAGTAATTGCATTGCAGCGGTGCGTTACTAAAGCTTGATAGAACGGTTGACCTTACATGCACGTGATGGCAGTGAGAGTGAAGCGAGTGGAAATTGGTTGTAGTTAAAGTCAGCTTAGTGACACGATTGGGCATTGAGCAGAGAAAGTCTTGGAAACATTTTCGTTGATAATCACGTCTTTATTGCTATTTTTTCCGGGACATGTCGCGAGAAAGAGTGAGTGGAATTTAAATCTCTTTCTCGCTAAATGGTTTTTTTATGACTCTCAAACTTTAAGCGAGCTTTGCGGCATTATATATAGATGCATTCGCCGTTCGTTATGGCACAGTAACACTGACCAGAATATGTGGCACAGAAAAGTTTTTTTTTTTTCTTTAGTTTGTTAAAAGAAGTTATCGAATTGTAACCATATTCTATTGCAGTTGACGCAGCACAATATGACTGATAATAGGCAGTTTTAGAACAGCGTTACCGCAGGGTACCGTACGAAGCGGTATTGTTACCGAAGGCCCTTGCACAACCACCTCAAAGCATGCTCCCAAACACGCGCCTGCAAAACCGACAGCGGTACCGCTCTGCTAAAACAACCTAATAATAGAAATAGGCAATCATCGGAAAAGGTGGGATACGGAATCGCATCGAGGTTCCAATCGCCATGTTTAGCTTTGTTTGTGAACAAGTTTATAAACAATGTAATAATATTTAAAAATACTATAATAACTTAACATCCTAGCATTCAATACCACTTTTTTCACCCTCTCCTCCCTCGTTTAATTTTTGGAGTAAACATACGCTGATGCCCTCTCTCCCTTCCTCTTACTGCCTTCATTTCGCTTTGAGTATACCCATGAATTTCTCGCCACTCCACAGTTTTGGCGTTGTTCCGCTGTTTAGCGCCCAAATATTGGGCTTTTGCTTCAGTCCTTTGTCTCTAAGTTTGAGCGTAGCAGAAAGTACAAGAACTACTTCCACGCTTAGTACAGGTCTGCCGAAGAAGTAAGCGGGTGCAGTGCAACAGCACTTCAAGACAATATGCTTGCGCTTGTAGGTTATAAACCGTCCACGCCTGTCGTGATAAAGTATTACCGTTCTGCATATTGCCGCGGGCGCAGCTGACCAAGTAGGCAGCGCGCCCGTGGCCTAACGGTTATCGCGCTTGCCTTCTACGCAGAAGGCCAGGATTCGATTCCTGGCCGCGTCTACACATTTTTGTTGATGCTGTAACGTGATGTTCTGGTAAATTCAAGAACCATCTGGGGGCGCTGATTCGAGGTTAGAATGTTC